GGGTGGCTGTGGGCAAGGGTGCCACCCCAGGGAAGGAAGTGACGCCCAGCGTGCTTCCAGCCTGGGCTGGGACTCGATGGCCAGCTGTCTGATCGCAGAGCCTTGACCGTGAGCTCCTCTGTGTCCATGGGCCACTGGCGCGTGTGTGACCAGGCAGCCCTGTGCTCCAGAAACCCAGGGCGGGGCCTGTCTGTGGTGGGCGCTCGTGGGCGGGACCCGGGCTTAGAACCGGGAGCTTATGGATTTCTTGCCTTCTGTTTAGAAGACGGACAGGAAGAGGAATCCAAGGAGGCTGACGGTGAGGACGACCGGGCACCAGAGAGCAGTCTGGGGTGGCGCAGGAGCCCCTCCAAGTGGCTTTCGGGGAGACCACTCCCGGGAGGTGGAGAGAAGGGGCTTGGGATGTGCAGGCTGCGGGTGCTGGGCTCCATGCCTCTGCCCCTCGTCATTCCAGAGAAGCTGCCTTGGTGCTGCCCAGTAGGTCAAGGGGTCAGTGTCTAGGTCCCCAGCCTGGGCCGGTGCCCCGAAGTCACGTCCACACGCAGGCGCCCGGGGCTCAGGCAGAATCACTTGCAGGGTGCAGGGCTGGTAGGGTGAAATCTCAAGGCACAGCCAGCCCACGCGGCAGGTCACTGCTGTGGTCACTGTCCCCTTGCAGCCCCCACCAGGGGCCCAGGTGGTCCCGGTCACGCCTCTGGAGGGGAGGGCAGCCAGCTGGGCTTGGGTTCGTGCCCTCGGGACGTGCAGGGGGCACCTCGGAGGCAGAGACTAGGGAAGGGACTCTGAGGTCAGGACCACTGTGGCCCGTGACACCCGCCCCTCTGGTGCCTGAGAGGAGCCTTGCCCGGACTGGTGAGCCGGAGTCGGCACTGGAGCCCCCACTGAGAGTCCCCCCTGGAGCCCCCCACTGAGAGACCCCCGCGGCCAGCACTCGGCCACCCGACACATCCCGGGAACCACCACGAGAGGGCATGTGGGCTCTGCGGCCACCATCTTAATTCTCATGGGAACCCCTGGGCCCGGGGACCCAGGGCTGGCAGGGGCTGTGCAGATGGGGAAACAGGCCCACAGTGCCAGCTCGCGGGGGGACCAGGCCGCCCCCTGACCTTGTGGCCGCGCTCCTCTCTCCTCCGCAGACGGCCCCGTGGAGGAGTCCAGGCCGAAGCCCAGGTGAGCTCACCTGCAGGGAGGCCTGGGGGAGGCCGTGCGGCAGGCACGGACCACCATGTACGTCTGTGCGGGCTGTGCTCTGCCTGAGGCCCACCCCGCACGCCCTTACCAGCTACGTGCCCGGCACAGCAGGCTGGGCCGGAGTGGCCTGGACAGACACCCTCTCCTGCCCATGGGGTGGCTGGGACATCCTCCCAGGTGGGAGGGACCTGGGGGGCAAGGGAAGAAAATTCGGGAGCCAAGCAGTGAGACCCCAGCAGCCTAGGCATGGTGGCCTTGAAGGGGCAGGCCAGGGCAGCTCGCTGCCACACGTGTGACACCGCCTGAGAGCCGGGGGTGCTGGGGTGAGGTGGGGGCCGGCAATGGGGGCTCAGCACAGTCACAGGCTTCCCGCTTCAGAGGGACCGAGGCCAGCCCTAGCCCAGCCACAGCCAGCCCGGCTCTGTCATGTGTCTGCGGCCGTTCCCTTTGCCGGTCACCTGCGCGTGCACTGCGGTCTCTCATTCCAGCCGTGCACAGGCTCGTGGGCAGGTGGGGAGACCAAGGACTAGACCCCACCGGACTGGTGTCACACAGCAAGCGTGTGTTGGGGCAGGGACCAAACCGCAGGTGACTCTGTGGGGTCAGCCACGGGGACCTGGAGTCAGGCAAGCATGTCACCATGTCACAGCTGCTCCATGTCCTGGTTGCATGGTTTCGAGCAAGTCACAACCTCTCCGAGCTCCGGGCTCTCACCTGCAATCGATGACCTCGTCAGGCAGAATGAAGTGACCCACGCGAGAGCTGCGGGTGCCCCTGGGCACAGTCGCTGGGCAGAGGTGGCGTGTTCCGCAGGAGGAACAGGAAGCTGCAGGCCCTCGGTCCCCAGCCGGCTGCTCACGCTCTACCTTCTCTCCACCAGGCCGTTCATGCCCAACCTGGTGCCCCCCAAGATCCCCGGTGGCGAGAGAGTGGACTTCGATGTGAGTGGCTGGTGGCTGTGGGGAGAGCAGGTCTGGGCTGGGGTGGCCGCCAGGGCCCTTGTCAGAGAGGGAGGTCTCGTGACCTGTGGGCAGGCAGATCTCAGCGGGACGGCGTCCAGCACAGGCGGACGGCGTTCTCTGGGTTCAGGCCACTGCCGCCCCCCTGGGCCAGGCCCCAGCTCTCCCAGAGGCCCCAGGCGTGGTGAGCCCCGCCTGGACCCCGGGCGTGCCCCGAGCCCCTCCCCTGGGCCCCGGGCGCGCCCCCAGCCTGCTGTCCCCGGCAGGACATTCACCGCAAGCGCATGGAGAAGGACTTGAATGAGCTGCAGACGCTGATCGAGGCTCACTTCGAGAGCAGGAAGAAGGAGGAGGAGGAGCTCATTTCCCTCAAAGACAGGATCGTAGGTGCCACGTGCCCCCCACGGGCTCCCCGGGGCCACAGCCTGTCCTCCAGGCGGCCCTCTGGGAAGCCCCAGCCCCGCTGGGAGTGGAGCGGGCCGAGCGCCCGTGGAGGAGCGCTCTTGCAGGGAGAGGCCCCTGTGGGCTCCTGTGCCCCCCATC